ATCAAGCCAGAAATATCCCTAGAAGCCAAGATGAGAAGACTTGTTGTACTTTGGACGCATCATGAGAAGGCGTGAATCGTTGGGAAAGACAATAATGTTAGGAAAGGTGGAGGGAAGTAGAAAGAGAGGAAAGCCACATGCCAGATGGATGGACTTTATTAAAGAGATCATGAATATGAGTTTGCAGGAGTTGGGCAGAGCAGCAGAGGAGAGGATGGAGATCTCTCATCCAGAGGATTGCCATGGATCGAGATTGACGCGAAGGCAATTAACAACAACAACACCTTCTTTTCACTTACTCTGACCTTCTTTCACTTTCTTTCACCATCTTTCCATTCATACCTTACTTCCTTCCCATCAATTACCGATTTGTCTATTTCATCAAGTTTTGACTTTCTATTACCTTCATGTTTGTTGATGCCACATCTGTGTAAGCCGTTATCACGTTTTTCCATGCTACTTCTCGTTCTAGCTTACTTTTATAACTTCTCATTCTATTCCGCTTTACATTTTAATACATTCATTATTTCTCATTCTTCTTTGTTATCTGTTTGGAGAGATGTCTAGGTTGTTCAGACCCGTCATATGACAGAAAAGATGCATATATTCTTTTATCATTAACAGACTCTACATTCATCCTAACTGATCAAATTTATTATCATTGCTCATGGTTTTGCCTTTGTTTAATGTCCTGTCCCTTTAACTGCTGTGGATTGGTGAGCAGACATTGCACCTGCAGATATTCCACACTCTGTTTGTCCAGCCCTGGGAGCGGGCAATAAAAGCATTATGATCCCTTCCTTTTGCAATCAAAGGAAAGGTGCTGCGCTTACGTTGGAAATTCTTTCCACTAGTACAAGTAATTTCCAGATGCTGTAAGCCTATGGCAGCTGCAGCCTGACTGGAGACACTTTCATAGAGTCCAGAAAAATAACTTTTCCAAGCCCTGGGTATATTTGCAGGAGTTTTTCCTTCTTGGTTGTTTGAAAATGGCAACAAGGAAAGGATTGAGACCCAATCTGGCATGGTGATTTGAGTGTTGCATTATGACCCTGGAGAGCAGGGTTTGATTCCCAGTTTGGCCATGAAACCCACTGGGTAACCTTGGGCAAGTCACATACTCTCAGCCTCAGGGGAAGGCAATGGCAAACCTCCTCTGAACAAATCTTGCCGAGAAAACCCTAAGGTAGCTTCGCCTAAGGGTCAGCATAAGTCAGAAACGACTTCAAGGTGCACAACAACAACAGCAACAACCCTGATCTCTCTGCTACTCGAGATGCAATCTAAAAATGCAAAATTCATCACAGAGGTGAGGAACTTAATGCAGGGTACTATGCCAAAACACTTCCAAGTTCTAAAATCAGGATGGCTTGTAAAATACACTTTGCCTCCAGGGAAATTTCGGTCTTGATCTGCTCTAGGACCTATTTATTTGTCCTTTTGGCTCTCCATGGGATCCTCAGCACTCTTCTCCAGCCCCACATTCTCTCAAATGCATTGGTTTTCTTCCTATCATCTTTCTTCCTTCCTATCATCTCACATGCATCCATGATAATAGGGAATACAATGGCTTGTATGAGTCTAACTTTTGTGCTGAGTTGCATATCTTTACTCTTTAGTTCTTTCATTGCTGCCCTTCCCATTCCCAGCCTTCTTATTTCTTGCCTGCAGTCTCCATTCTGATCAATGTTTGATTCTAGGTTCAGGAACTCTTCTACTATTTCCATTTCCTCCTTGTCTAGGCAAAATTTATGAATTTCTTCCATGGCCTTTGTTTTTGTTTTCTTTAAATTCATCAGTTCTTGGCCTTTTGGCTAAGATCAGTTTGGCCAAACTGTAGTAGTTTTCTTTAAATTCAGCATTGCGATTGCGTTGCAGAGGATAGAAATAAATTTTATTATTATTATTATTGTTAAATTGTGATAGCATTTGCAATCTCCATTGTATTTGGCCACATACGATTCGGAACCAGGTACAACGCCACAAATTTAATGGCATTTTAGGCAAAGAGTACCGACAGCCTTCTGTATCTACAGATTCTGCATTGACAGATTCAACCAACCACAGTTTGAAAATATTCAACCCCCCCCCAAAAAAATCCCAAACTCAGACTTTGACTATGCCGTTTTATATCATAGATGCCATTTTACTATGGACGTTATCACACGGGGCCCAATCCAAACAAAATCCACACGAAATCCCGAACGATACCGGATTATTTTCCCGTGTTTCCACACAACGTCGCACAGAACCCCGACAGAACCCCGACAGAAAGTGGAAAGATCCGAGATCTTTTGAATTTCGGTTTCTTGAGGAAATGCAATTGCGCGATGAAGGTGATTCTGCATTTACCGCAAATGTGATCGTCAAATACATATTGGGGAGCATTTCCCCGTCATTACCCATGGTTCCCGCGAGCATTCCTCTATCTGCGCATGTGCAAGAGACTATTTCTACTACATTTACGGGATATTTTCGCTTGTGTGTGGACGTTCTTTGTACTTGCTGTAAATTTGCAATTAAGGTAATGACGTTTGCGGAAACAAGTTTATTTTCGGTTTATTTTCGGAATGCCTCATTTCCACTTTTATTTTTGCTTTCTGGCCCACGTGTGATAACGTCCTATGCCTTTGTCTATAATGGGACTTGAGCATCCATGGATTTTGGTATCCACAGAGGATCCTCAAACCAAACCTCAATGGAGACCAAGAGACCACAAAGGCGGTGTGATATTGCCTTCCTCTGACACATAGCCTACAGCATGGCATAGTGGTTTGAACATTGGACTATATCTCTAGAGACCAGGGTTCGATTCCCAGTTCAGCCATGAAACCCACTGGCTGACCTTGGGAAAGTCACACTCTCTCAGAGGATGGCAATGGCAAAGCCCCTCTACGGAAACTTGCCAAGAAAATGCCTTAGGTTCACCATAAGTCGGAAATGACTTGAACAACAAACAAGAGAAGGGCAAGGTGCCATGCATCCATCGCTGCTGAATGTTTGCAAGCCATTCTGTATCCATGACTTCTGTGCCTTCCAACTGCCTTTGTACACTATACGTATTTCCTTCCCTCTTGTGCAAACAGCCACCATCCCCAGCATCAGAGCAACCGAAACACTGGACATTGGCAAACAAAGTGAGTTGCCTCCTCCTGAGCTGAGATTTACAGAAGAGGGAATAATAAATCAAAATTCTAGATAGTTTGCATGGCAGTAAACCAGAAGGAAAATCCTCTGGTGCTGATGGAGAAGAAAAACGATTAAGAGAAAGTTTGAAAAAGCAATGGAAGGGTGCCTTTTACAAGCAGAACCCGGACTTCCGAGGGATGCTGTAAAAATGCAGTAAATAAAATGATTGAAAAAGATCGTTATTAATTTTTATTATTTTTATTAATTTTAAATTTTAATTTTTAATCATTGAATTTGAGACACACACACACACACAGAGCCACCATCAGATTTCTTTCTCTGTCTCTGTCCATAAGTTAATCATGCATACATGTGTGTGTAAATACTGGGACATATTTGTGGTAGCGAGTTGCCTACGTTAGTCATGCAGATACCGAGAGATAAAAATGTTTAAATATGTAAAGCATACTTGTATTCAAATATATAAGAGATAGGGCTCTTTCGAACCGGTCTAAAGAAGCATGAGTGCTTGCAATAGGACGCCTTGAGTTTGTCCTCGCCTCTGCCATATTCACTTCTTCCATATTTTTGGGTGCCTGTTTGTTGCGATTTTGTGGATTTGTGCTTAAGTTCTTCCAAAAGATTTAAAATAAATTTTAAAAAAACCCTAAGGGTAAGGTTTGTAAATAAATAAATAAATAAATAAATTCCAAAAAGTTTTTTTGTGGGTTTTT